CTTCTCGTCAACCAAGACCCCCAAGTCCTTCTCCTCAGAGTTGCTCTCAATCCATTGCCCACCCAGTCTGTCTTTGTGCCTATTTTCATTTATGGATTTTGCTAGATAGTGACTCAAGAGAAAAACTCTTTGTCTGCTACATAAGAGCTATAGACCTTCTCCTAGAATTGTCTGGGCAGATGACAACTCTCGCTCCCCGATTTTGTTTAATGGAACCCATGGGGAAAACATTTTCTCTTTAGCTCTTTCTCTATTAGCCAAGCAGTAAAATGGGACCTTTTCCAGAAAAGGAATCATAACAGCTACCCCCAAAGCTTTCTCTGACTCACCCTCTTTTTCATGTGTCCCCCAACTCAACATATAATACAGTGAAATATCCTCCTTTTAGTTAAAAGCTGGGATAGCTCTAGAATAATGATCATCTCTGCAAGCAAGTATTTCAATAGGTAATTCTGCAGTAGGGACAGTTTGTTACTTGATGATAGAGGATGGTGTCAAGCAATGTGCGATCAATCACCTGTATCATTTAAAGAACCGGAATGGTTCTTTAAAATGGATATTTTTTAGAGAGCCATTCCTCTGCAGGTGTATAGGAATGCCTTCTTGGCACTTAACCCAAAGGAGAGTAACAGCAGCACTTCTCTGTTTGTGAGAAGCATTCACGACAGCTATGGATGCTGTGTCCTGTCACTGACTCCTTGGGACTTTATCAGTAACACATACATAGGTCTTGTTTCTGCATCTCTCTTCTCTGCCACCACAAAATTCCTCTGAAGCACACAACAAAAATCCTCCTTTTTTTGTTCTTAGCACATAGCCTGTACTTTTCATAGCAATAAAATTTACAAAAAGACACTGCTGAATAATGCCCAGGAGAGTTTCCAGTCCCTTACAGCATAGCTTCCCAACTACTGCTGACAGATGTTTTTCTCTGTTCTGAATTGTTCTCTTCACAAAATGTACTCTATATTCTTTCCTAAAGCTATGTATAATTATAAAGTTCCTCCTAAAATCTAATCCACATATTATTGTTTTAAATTAAGATTTCCCGGTAGAAATTTTTATTACAAAAAAAAAAATCTTTGCATAACTAAGACACTTAAAATTGTTTCTCTCAGTTTTCTCTTTTTTTTTTTTTTTTCAACTAAATAAATACAGTTTTTCAAACTTCTATCATGTTTCTCAACCCTATTGAGTCCATCTGGACTCCTTCCAGTTTCCCTAATTTTCCTCCAAGCATTAGGCCCAGCATTCAATTTCAGAATTCTCTGGTACCAAATATAACTGAGTAATTACTTCCCATAACTTAAATATAACATATCTGTCAATATACCCTGGAATGAGCACAACCACTTCTGCAATTCCACACATTTTGAATCTATATTTAACTTGTCATATACTATATATATAAGCCACAAACCCCCTTTTCTGTAGGGAGCTGCTTAGCCAGTTATTCCCCATTTTGCCCTGGTGTCTTACAACTTTCCTTCCTAACTACAATGCTCAGCATTTTTTTTCTTGTCTTTTATCCTATTGATTTCACACTGCCATTCACATTTATCATGATCATCTGAAATTCTATGCCTGTCCTCTTTCAGAGTGCTTGCAATTACCAATTTCACAAATTGTAATTGTACTCTTTATTCCATTATCCAAAATGCTTACAGAACAAATATGTGGATATAGTATACGCTCTCTCCTCCTCATATTAAAATATCAACCTTTGTAAAATGAGTGCAAGTATGTGGAAATCTGCAGAAATATATAATCATGGTAAGTAAGACCTTTCTATTAAAACACAAAAAAAATTCCTCAGTTCAGAATTTGATCAATTCAAAGCTACTTTTCCCCAGCACCTTCTTTCAGGAATACTTGTAAAAGAAAGAGCTGAATGCAACCCTTTGTAGGGGTCCTGCAGTGCTCTTTACATGCTGACACACCACTCCCAAGGGAAACAGGCAATTAAACAGGGCATTGCAAAGTCATAAGTTCGAGATAGACACTAATGTTAACTTGGAGTCCTGTTCTGCTTGGTATCCAAACACCTGCATCAACGCAGGTGAAAACGAGTTACCCAGCACAAGAAAATTGTCCACATAGGCTGAATTATAAGCTTGTCCCTAAATTGCTCAAATAAATCTCCTTAAAGAAGTGGTAGCCTGTTACTAATGCGCCTACTTCATTATTTAACACAGGAATGTAACTCCTCACTCTTCTCACAGGTACTGTCAGCTGTGCATTAAGAAAAATCGCCAAGCACAATTTACATTCACTTTCCAGATTAGTTTAGAAACAGTGGGCTTTCACTTCAAAGAAAAGTCAGAAAACATGACATGACTTTGCAAAACATTAATCTTCCACTTAAAAGTATTATTTGCAAAAACATCAATCTTCCATTTAAAAATATTATCATCAGATGAATGTCCTGAACATTTCTTCTGATTCGCTGAGCAGGCTCGAATTGTCCCCATCAGGTTCAGAACACCATTTCAGGCATGAAGTGAACATAGTCTACCCATTTAAGGCCCTCTTATGTAGCTGCAGTCCCACAGCATCTGGCAGACCCATGCAGTATTTATCCTCACCACACACCCAGGAGGTCAGGAATGCTATCATCCCACTGTCACAGTGAAGGACTGGAAGCCCAACAGATGAATAGCTGCCCATCCACACAGTAGGGCTCAGGATAGTGAGTCCCTAAGTTAGTACATCCTAACTCTACCCATGAGTCCCCTGAGAAATGTTTTTTTTGGGTGAAATATCACTCAAACACAACATATTTGTTTTGCCAATCAGGCCTTTCACCACCATGACATTCACCAGCAACGTCGGATCCATGACTCCCACTCACTGTAGATTTCTCCTGCCCTCATAGGTTTACCTGTAAACATAGGGTACTGTGTGTTCTCAGCTGTTATTTCCTGCACTCTGGATTAGGATCACTGGGAAAAGTGTGGCAGGATACTGCTAACACAGCAGAAGTTTTTAGGAGTTAACTCAAGGAGCTGCAAAACTCAGCCCCCCTTCCCTATGTAGTAAAAGAGAATATTTCAAAATATGCCCATCAGTTAAAAAGCCAGTTCAAATTATTAGCTTTTATTTAATATTATTTTCCACCTTGAACATCTCAGTTTGTACAGTCATGTCTTAGGAAACCCAACTCAGTGCTAATATACAACTCCAAGCACTGCAGCACCACTGGTGTGTAATAAGTAATAACAGGTAACTTCTGCAGTTGTCATTTTTCCTAACGAAGAAAATGTTCCCCAAAATCAGGTTTGACCTAAAGAACCTGCAACATTGGCAAGTCACCTGCTGTACTGCATCCTTTTGGTCATACTTCATGGCATTAACCAGCTTCACATTTCTGCCCTTTGCAATGTTCATTATAAATCATTTTGTCCAAGGGTACTGTTGGCCCAGAAATATGCCTGTCTAGGGCAGGGCTGAAGCAAGAGGGTTAGCAGAGGTGTGAAAAAGCTGGAGTAACCACCTTGCAAAAAAAACCCAAACAAAACCAACCAAACAAAACCAGAATCACACAGGAATAAAACATTCCACGCCAATATAAGGCAGAAGGGGCAAATCCAGTCCTGCTGTAACCTGTGCTGCAATGGTGTCCTCAGATATCTGCCTCCAACACATCGTGAAATGGAAAATTCAGCAAAGCAATAACAGTGTCAACAGACCCATCTGAGTGCAGATCAGTGAAACACTCATCACACTCAGGCCTGCACAGAAAAACTCCAGCCTGCTCTCACAAGACTTCAGAACTTCTCAGCATCTTTCCTGCTGAATTCCCTCCTCCCAGGAAAGAGACCTCTGCTTACAACAACACCCGCCCCCTTGAGCAAAACACGAAGGTTTCCAGTCACACAAGAAAGTTTTTAGCCTTCTCCTGATGGACACTGGGGCATCTTCATCCCAAATTACAGGTTGCTCTCAGCCACACCTGATGTGTCTCTAAGAGATCCTCCCACCTCTGCTCCTTCACAGGCAGGAAGAGCTTGTGAACTGGTTGGAGCCCAAGTCTGTTGGATTTAAATATTGCCAGCTGTCACAGCTCGCTCAGGGCACTGAGTGCCCACCCCAGCCCGCCTACCTGTTTCACTGGAGCTGCCTCCTCTACAAAGAAGTCTTCCATGTCTGCAGCTGCTCACGTCTGTGCAAGGAACCGGGGCGAGGGGCGGGGATGGGGGTGGAGGGGAATCCTGGAAACTGGCACAACCTAGATACACAGGCTGGCAGAGCTACCAACGTTTTTTTAAAAAAAAAATCTTAATTAATTACACGGAATCCAGCAAAATTCTGAACAACTGAGCCAACTCTCGGGTTGGTGTGGGGGTTTTTTAAGCGCTCATTACTCCGATGAGGCAGAAGGCACTTTCAAAGGCTCTTTGCTCTCTGCAGAGAAGTAAGCAAGGATGGCAGCCATCCTTTGAAGAAGACACACCACCAGCAGCTATCAGTGTGCCTTGGCATGAAGCTAAAACAAGACCAGAAGGTGCTTTTTATCAGTAGCGTTACCTAAAAAGGGGCAGTTACTAAACCATTTTGCTGCTACAGTGGGGTTTGGAAGAGATACTGGAAGTGCAAATGTCCCTTTGGAGCAATAGCAGATGGGAAAAGTGAGAAAGAGGCATCCTGCAAGGGCACACTGAAGGGGGACAGGCTTCACAGAGGCTGATCTTGTTCCACCAGTTATGGCCTCACATGGGTCAATGGTTTTGAGTGACTCCTAAAGGAAGAAATTCCTACCAGGACAACAGCTCAGGCACTGCCTTGCCTTCATCTGCAAAAACACCGCAGGCTCTACCCATGTGGCTGGGATCCGTCTCCATGGCATTACTGGCAAAATTCCTTACTGATTCCTAGGGGTCAGCATCAGGCCTGTAGGCAAGGGATAAAACAATTCTCTGGGGAATACTGGTTCTTGCTGTAGTAGCTAGAAGTTTTCATAATTCACAAAGGATTTATTTAAAATAATCTGAACAGCTGTAAAAAGAAGCAGAGGATTCCTGAAGTAATAAAAATCTGTTCCCCAAAGAGCATGGATTTGGAAAAAAATTATTAATTGAAAAGTAAGTGATGTGGGATGGAGAGTCATATAAATGATGAGGAGGAAAAGCACTTCAGATCTTCACAGAAACAAAATGAGTTGGAATCTCTTTCAGCTTTTCACATCATAGCTTTCTTCCTCGCAATCATATTTTTTTTTTCCTGATGTAAGTGGAGTAAATAGTTTGAAAGTTCAAGAAACTCGAAGGAACTCTGTAGAAAAATAAAATTACTCAGAAACTTGTTTTTGAAACTACTACAGTACAATCAGACACCAAAACCAAACCCTATTGGGTTCATTGCTAATGAAATGACCTTAAAAATCTACATTTCATTAAATGTGGTATGCAGTAAAATGCCACAGGGGAAACAATATTATCGTTTAGTAATATCAAAAGCTGTCATTTTCTGCAACAACCTGGGGCTACAGAAAAGCATATTCCCATGAATAATTAGTGTTTGGCATCCAGAAGTATTTTATCAAGAAAGCTGCCTTAGCTCTAAGTACCACAACTAGAAATGTCGGATAGTATTGATGGAAGTTTAAGGTGACTGTTGGTCTTATCTATAAATTTATCTTTGTAGAGTTAAAATCAGAACCTTTTCATTATTGTCAAATTTTGTTTTAATATTAATGAAACTAAAGCCCCATGAACAGTTCTGTAGAAGGAAGAAGAAAGAATCAATATATCATCAAGAAAATTACTTGCAACATTCTGACTTGAAAATGGCACTTTTCCATGTTAATAAATAGTGCAGTTCAGGAAATCACATAAGCAAATTTTAAATTTTAAGGATACAAGCCTCCTGGAACTGCACTTGATGCTTCAAAATCTAAGCTGCTCTCTACATTTTAAAGGACAGACTTCACCACATTTCACTATCTGTAAGAACTTTTGCTGCAAAAGCAAAATCTCATGACCTTTATGGCCCTTTTCACTTGTTTGCAATTAACAGTTCCTTTCTATTTCTGAAAGCTGGGGGCAGAAAGAAAAAGAACCCAGCTTATGATGTATTACCTGCTGGTATTTCTAAAGGACTGGAGCACAGGAAATTACTAGATATCAGTTTCTCTGCAGTAACTATGCACAATTTCACTTTTATGACCTGGCAGTCAGAGGCAAATGTAAGGTAAGCTGAGTTAATCAAGCCTGGGCTGATTGAATGATACCTGGAGCAAAAGGGGAACAAGCTGCCTCACAGAGCTGATGGTGGAGCAAGACAGATGTATATCAACAATCCTGAAGCAGCTGTTCTGAAGCAAGTCCTGTAGTGCAGAAACAGGTTCACATGGCAAAGCTTTCCCAAATCAGAGAGATTAATACATTCATCAACTATAAAGGATGTTTACAGTCATCCAGAAATGCTGATGGTTGCAGGTCTTCTCTGAATATGAATTCTGTTTGCATGAGACCATTCATTAGTCTTGACTAAAAAATTTCCCAGGTTGGAGCTCATTACAAATAACTCTTGGTAAGTTTTTCGACCAGCAGTCTATGCCTACTTGCCTCATTTGGAAACATTTTCCTACCTTCAGTTTTCTTTGCTCTGCTCGATTTTTTTCTTTTTCAAGCAGATCAAAGACACAATAAAGCCCTGAACTTTCACTTCAACAAACATTTCAAACTCACTCAGCTCAGTGAGGCATATTTTTCCTTCTCTTATGCAACATCAGAACACCTCTGGATCCTCTTCATTGTGCTCAGCACTCTTTTTGAAACATGGACACTTGTCATTCATGTAATTTTTAATTAACGATCTCTTTAGGGTCAGTCAAAATCTACTGTAATTTCCTTCTTCTTACTGAAGGGTCAAATACATGTGAACATTTTTGGACACACTAATCTAAGGGGAGCTTGTCCTTTGCTTGATATCCCTCAATGACACCAAGATTGTTTTTCCACAGACATTACTTCCCTCACCCTAAAAATATGACCCATATTTTTCTGTTGTCATGTGTGACTTTCCTGAAATATATGGGTTTTGTGTTCTTTCAGCTTACCAACAGATCTCAGCTGTCACGTGTCCATCCCAATATCTTTAGCATTGACATAAAAGTCAGTATAATATAATCAGAAAACTTGTTCTGCCATCACTTCATGTATTCTTATGGGTGACTTACACAAGGTTTGAGATGGTGGATCAAGAACCAGCTCGTGCAGGACTGAGAAGTCCATTTGCTCTGTGATGATTCCCCATATACAATTATACTATGATACAGTCTGACCAGATGATAGCCAAACCAGGCTGCACATGTTGAAAACACTGATATCTTTGGGATGTCATCACCTTTATATCTTCTGACCAAAGGCCTAGAAACTCAATCTTCTAATTTATTATAACGATTACTACTAATGATTTTTTCTTTACTTGCGTCCTGACTTAGTATTTTTATATTTATAATTCCTTCCTTATTTGCATTTAAAAACCTCCTTGCATTTTTCTCAAAAAAAATAGGACAGAAATGAAAAAGAGTAATCATTTTTTTCTCGACTGAGTGGTCAGGTCACTTAGAAGACTGAATACACAGTGAGCAGAACACACAGTGAGAGATCCTCTTGTTAAAGTTAGGATGTCTGAAACTTTCCTGAGCTTCAGTTCCCTGAAGTTCATGGCCTTCAGCAGTCACTGGACTCAAATTGACATGCAAAAAATCACAGCAAACCTCTGACAAAGTTGTCAGCTGTTGGTTGGCCTTTCTCTTTTGAGATTATGTCATTTCTACTTGATTTCTCTGCGAAACTATTAAGGAATCCAGCCTTGCTTGAAGAAACCTCAACCCTTAGTCAACCTTCAGAGGAACCAACCTTAATTTTGGGAACTTAAAGCCAGAAAAGTTTGACTTGCCCCCAGCTTCTCTCACAAATATTCTGCACAGGTCAGATGATGAGCAACATGAGAGTAGCACACATTGTCACACACACGTTGATGTGAATTCAGGAAATAACAGAGGTATCCTCCCAGTCATGCCAAACTCAACCAGGGATATAAGGCCATGACAAGGTGCTGAGAACTTGAAATACTCTTGGCTCTGTTCAAGCTACAGACAGGAAAGAACCATAATCTTTTCTAGTTCTCCTTTCAGCAATGTTTATCACTTTGCTTCCTTTTACCAAGTATTTGGATGAAAGTTATAACAATTATAATCTCTGGAAAAAAAAAAATCCTCTGATTTAATGATCTTTGCATTGTAAACAGAAAGTTTTGGACTGAGGAATATTTTTAAAAATCCAAATAGCACAGCTCAGTTTTATTCCTTCTTTGATACTGTTCTTTTTTTATGTTGCTACGGTACGTCTGCTCCGTGTGAAAGTGAGGTTGCTATGGAAACTACTCATTATTTTTCAATAGTAGGCTAGCTACTTAATAAAAATCCTACATCTTTTTAATCCCCAGAGAGTCTTAATTTATCCCATGCACAGACTTTCCTTCTTGACAGTTCCTTTAATATTCACTGCACTGCAGTGCACATTAATCTGAACATGTCTAACAAATCCACAACTTCTGAAATCAACTTTCCAGCAAAGTTTGATTTTAAAAATAATATTTTTTTAGCTTGTCTTTTACCTGCTTATATTCCTGTGAAAGATTGTAGGTATGCACAGCAAAGCCAAGAGGAGGCCTGTGTAAGAGTCAGATATGGAAAAAAAAATTAAAACTTCCTTTATCTATAATAAATGGTAAAAACTGCAGGAAGGGAAGATGGACCATGGTCAGAAGTGTTAGCCTGGAATTTAGAGTTAATTCCTTCCACTACCACAATCTTCCCTGGCCAGCCCAGGCAATGCTCTTGGTCTCTTCTTTCCTCAATTCACCACCTATAAAACAGGTGGTGACTATCTGGAAAACTGGAGCCAATTTCTTTTTTGAAAATTGGAGCCCTCCCTATTTGACAGATGAAATGCACCAATGATCATCTCGAGCACTAAAGCAACAAACCACATCAGGGCAGAGGGTGGGACACTCCACATAGTCACCATGTGTTACAACTTACCACTTCTCTGCTTAGACATCACACTGTCCCTCTTTTAGTTTTTGGCTTTTTTTTAAAGAAGCAAATGAAGTAATTAATTATTATAAGTCAATTAACCCTTTCCTACCCAAACCCTTCTATATTATTAGGTTAAGTGAGAGAATGTTGTTGGTTACAGGTCCCAATATCAGAACATCTGTTAGTGCTTGAAAGGGTCTCCTCAAAAGGACTAGGATCTCTTAGACCAAATATTCATTCCCCCCTGAGGATGTGATTATTCCAAAATATTCATTCGCCTCCAAGGATCTGGCTATTCCCACATTTCTTACTACTTATTTGAGGCAGAACAGTGGCATTTCAGTGGAGCAGCTCTCATCAGAAAAAGACAAAAAACTAAAAGAGCTGCAGTAGCTAATTCTCTCATACCCCCTGTATTAGGCATGTTTGAAGCACTTCCTCAGATTAATACAGACTTTAACTGCCTTGACAAATTACAAAATTCATCCAAGAATACACACTGAGCAACAACAGACACTGCAGAGTTTAATGAAAGCTGAATTAGGCTAAAACAAAATTAAACTATCTCAAGTATTTCAGAGATGACAAACAACAGTTTCATGGTTGTTGCTGTGACTCCTTATTTTTCCCAGTGACATTTTCCTCTAAGGAACCTTGCACACATTTCATATGTCCTACTACATGTAAACCTCATTAAAATTCAGCCACATATGAGAAGGAAAATTTCCACTAAAGGGAAATTTTTAAAGTTAACAGGTTTAGATTTAAGTCTCCCTACATATAATCAGCTTTTCCTTATGGGATTTTTAAGAAGAACTGACTTTCTTATTCACTGCCTATGAGTCCTTGCACTGTGCCATTTAATCTAATTTTTAACAAAGGAAAGAAAACACTGGAGCTTTTATGTAGTTCCACAAACTCTCCTACTAGCAGACTGTTTATCTGTATTACATATCAACATTAGATAACATAAATAGATCAATAATTTGCCACATTCAATTTGAAAGGTTTAAAGCTTCAAATACATTTACCTCTGATTCAGGTAAAAGACTGCCAACATACTTAATATTCTCCCTAACCTTTTTGTCTGGTGCATATTACTGTACTAGGACAAGAAACTCCAGAATTTATTCTTGTTCACTGTAATTGAAACTCCTTCCTGCAAGAGTTTTTGCCTTTTTCCTGACCTCAGCTCAGAAAAAAAATTCTCCTTGACTCTTTCTATATTGCAATTTTACTTCATTGAACTCTGTCACTTTTTTAACATTTCCCAAAAGACAGAATATGACCCACAATGATTTTCAAAGTTATATAGTCCTGAACCTACAAAGCTCATAAATATATCCCAAGTAGCTTAACTGAACCAAAGTTAGTGATATGTTGTAGGTGGAAACCCAGAAAGAATTATAAATTTTATCCAAGCAGATTTAAATAAGAAACCTGAAATTGAGAACATATTAATTAAATCAGGGGAGCAGGGAGGGAGTATAACGGAGTGTTGGTAGTGTAGAGTATTAAAGCATTGACAATGGGGCTCTGAAGTTCTTTTCCGAGCCTTAATTCTCTTAGCAGAAAGAGTTTCTGCTCAGCAAACCCTGCCCTCTGGTGACTAAATGCCATTAGTGCCAGGCATATATAAGCATTCAGGGGGTTGCCTATTTGCACATAGGTTGCAACGAAAAATACAAGTAAAAATCCATTCAGTGACATGCTTTGGATTTTATTAATTTCCTCTTAAGGCATTAATAAAAATGCTGACTTTTTTCTTCTGTTTCATAGAAATCTTCATGCTACCTACTCTGTGCATTAGGTACATAAAAAATTCATACTGTATTCACCCTTTTTCTCTTCTCTGAAAACAACCACTCTTTCCAGATTGATCACACAATGCTACAGAATTATTGTCCAGCCTCATCCTTCTACCACTGCAAGAGCAGATGTCTCAGTCAGGCTGAAGAACATCCTTGAGCCCATCTCTGGCCCCACACCTCCAGAGCTGAGATACACATTTTACACAGGGGGCATTGCAACTTTGAAATCACCATGACATCAGGCAATGCTGGTAAAAAAATAAATATGGACACCATAAATGATTGGCATAATCTGGGTCCTAAAATTATCACTTCTTTACAATCAGAAATCAAAGCCTTCCACAGACAATAGGAAAGTTGTGAAATCCAGATATGTACATGATCTTTGGCAAAAGCCTTTTTTCAGACTTCCTATTCAACAGCTATGTTTAAAGCCATTTGATTAAATATTTTCTCAAACAGGTATCATGTCAGCATTAACTCTGCTCCTGACTGAACCATATAAACAGTGTATGCTCCTCTCCCACTCTGCTGTGATTTATGTGGTTGTACCACAAATACCTTTATGATTGATATAAACCAAAATCCAAGCAGTCACCAAAACCAAAATAGCACTTGAGGGGCGGAGATCAGCAGGACACTGGATTTTTAGAACAGCTGCCAGAGTTTATGGATGCACTGGCAACTCTGCTGAGAGCTTCCAGGTGCACGCACTGTGTTTCTCTTTCAAAACTGAGGAGTTACCAGAATTTTCAATTGTTGTGTTTTTTTTTTTTTCCCCTGCAGATTGTTAGGTAGCATCAAGGCCTGGCACAAAGCTTGTCATGCTGAGACACATCTGGAGGGGCAGGTAGAAAGGCAGGTAGAAATGCTGCCCTAGTGGCTCCGCACCCCAACCTGCCCATCCCAGGCTGGGAGTTGCACTGTGGAAAAAGAGTTGGGTGCCAAGTTGCAGACAAATCTTGAATACAGGCTCCAGGTGACCCACAGAGTAGTCAGCTGGGACTGGACAATAGTGAAAGACTGGAAACAGCTGGGGAAAGAAACACTTAACTGAGAACATTTCTGTTGCTCTCATTACACAAATGTCTGTGGGGCCACATGATGACACACAGCAGGGAAGCAAGAAATAGCCCTGGCAAACAGATGAAAGACAAGTTTTACCCTGCCCCAGAACTCACCCTCTGCTTCAGCACCAGAGCTGTCAGTTAATTCCATTCTTTTCAGTTCCGCGTCTTTGCCACGAGAGACCCAAAAAAATGAAAAATACCCTTAACCCTCATCCAGTGGATGGGCTAGGGAGAGAAAGGTGCTATTGCTCAGCACTGGAGGCTGCCTGCTTGCTCCCCAGGCCTATCATGCAAGTCAGCAAGGCTGCTCCCCTTCCCTCAGAGGATTCACTGGGAAAGCAGGACACCTGCAGAGACCCAACTCTGCAAGAGCAGTGTGAATCCTCTCGGAGCTGCTCTGGACATGTGCCCTCCTGCCCAGCCAAAGGCAAGGAGTGTGCCACATGCAAGAACAAGGCCAGCAAACAGCCTCAAGTTGCACCAGTTGTATACCAGCAAAAATTTCTTCACTGAAAGGGTGTTCAAGCACTGGAACAGGCTGCCCAGGGAAGTGGTGGAATCACCATTCCTAGAAAGGTTAAAAAAAAAAATCGTGTGGATATGGCACTTGGGGACATGGTTTAGTGGTGAACATGGCAATGCTGGGTTAACAGTCAGACCTGCTGACCTTGGAGGTCTTTTCCAACCTTAACGACTCTTTGATTCTATGATTCCTGCTAATGCATGAAGCGAGGGCAAAGCAGGCATGAAAAAACAAATAAAGTAGTAAGAACAACAGAGCTCAAAGCACAATCAAGAGAACAATTATCAGCCTAGGAGGAGAGACATTTTATGCCTTGCTACTTTCTCTCAATCACAGTGCTACTGCTAATTAGAACAGACACAATTTTCAGGCAGAGTGGGATTTTCAAGTTGATGGTGCCCTTAAAAATCTCTTCTGGCTTTCATTGCTATTCATGGAACAGGAGTTTGCTCTCACTTACCTTGACTCAGCAAAGGGCTTACATGTGCTCAGGTTTAAGTACATGCTTAAGACAGCATCTAGTGAGAACATGGTCTTCTGCTCTTCTGCTGAGCCAAGAGCCCCGTGAAGAGTGACTGGAGCTCTTGTCTCCAAGCCAGGGAGGCAGGATGTGCAATCTGACCTCCAGCAGCTGCAGCAGGGCGTATGAGGGTCAGGTGTGTCTCTAGGGTGAGGGCATGACTGATGCAAGCTTAAGGTTGATGTGGGCACAGACTCAAAATAAGTCAATGTGACACTAAAGAGGCTCAGATCTACTATGGAGCTGAGGAGATGTCATCAGTTAACAGGTGCCGTAAAACTAGAAAATGTGGGGCACAACCAGCACTTGGAGCGGTGGGAAAAGCCAGAGCACTCTGCCATCACTGCAAGCTTAGAAAATTGAGTTCAACACAGATTTCTACAGAAAGATTCCATAGCAGGAGGATAAGCCGTCTTACTAGCCAGGGAGATGGGCTCTGCCACTCTCAGATGCCTTGAGGATGATGAAACATCAGGAGGAAACTCAAAAAACAAGGATCCTCCAAAATCTTTACGTGTGGCACCACTCTCCTAACAATCAGGACTGAAATTGTAGAGAAAAATAGCTAAAACAGACAATGCAGACAGTGGCTTCGGCCCTGAATTTGCAGTCTGAGTCCACACAGCACAGCTCCATCAGCTCATGTAATCCACATGGCAGTGCCAATGCAAAGGAGGTTTCTGCTGTTGCAATGATCATCAAATTGCTGATTTACTGAAGACATGCTGAATGGCTTGGAGACACAGAGAACATTGCTTTATTGCTGACAATGCTGAGCCTGTTCTTAGTACCAAAGTGCTGGAAAATGAGGGAGAAAAACGAAGAGGCAATTTACTTGTTATTGTCTTGTCTCCAGTTCTGTCACTTGCTTTATATTCTTGTTTTTGTCTCCTCATCTGCTCCTGCCATAAATTTCTGGCTGTGCTTGTAAAGCCTTTTACCTGTACACCAGTGCCCAAGGGATGCAAGCCATACACAGGGCTTACCAGAGGGTTTGAGGGAACACTGTGATCTTCATTTCAGTGACACATCCTGTTCATGCTATTTTAATTGTGGTTTAGTGGCTTACAGCCAAGGCAAGGAGTGAATCTCAGGGCAGGAGGCAGACAGCTTTATAGTTTCACTCCAGTCTCTGATACCAGATGTGGCTTCAAACCACCCCATAGCTTGAAAAGTGCATTACAATGCAGGAGTGTGCCAGCCTGGTGGCAAAGCCACTTGGATGAAAAGCAATGACACACATCTATTCTTTCCTCCTTTTCCTGTGCATTGTCCGTTACTCACTTTCTCAGTTTGTCTTCCCTCTCTTTTATCTTCACCTATTTTCCTGGAAATTTGGAGAAATTCTATAGCAGCTTGAAAGTCGTGAATTTTACACGATTCTCACCTGGACACTGAAAATCAAAGTCAAGTCTGAGTCACACTGCTTAGGAGAGACTGGTGCCTTCTCTCTCTGCTCCAGCACAAACTCACAGCATGAGGGCAAAAACACAGCAAAGCTGGGCTCCCACACACCTTCCTGGGAAGCAGCACATTAACTTCATGGTAATTTCATCTGCCCTCCCCATGTCTCCTCCTCATGCCATGTATTTCCTACACACTGCTAATGCAATCCAGAGACCTCCAGAATATCCAGATCTTCACTAGTCACCCCCATTTTGGGAAACTGAATGAGGTTTTCATCTTGCTGGTAAATTATAATACATTTCCCACTTAGAGTAGCTTGGCAAATTTTTGGCACTGCACCCCTGGATTGCTCTGGCCAGACACAAGGTCAGCCTCTGTCCCAGTTTCTGTTTTCTAGGCAGTAATTTAGACTGCAGAGGGGAGCCCTGTTCCTTGATATACTGAATTAGGACATGAGGGAAACTATTCCACTCACTGTGCCCCAAAAAAAGGGGCTACCCTACTGGTTATCAGAAAGAAAGGGGATAGGGGCTGGCCAGGTCCTTTATGGAAACACAGAACTGTTGGCTTCACTGCAGAGGTAGGGCAAGAAGTGAAGGGTCACATCAGGGCTCAGATGTGTAGGAAAACAGCAATGCTTTTATTACTTTATCCTCTTCTTACAAAAGACCTCTTTCTTTCTTTTCCCTTCCCAACAGCAGACAGTTAAACTGTGAAGCTCATTGCCCCAGGATTCTGTGTACACCAGAATTTTATATGTGTTTCTGTGAAAAATCCAGTGGCATGGCCTTGGGTACAGAACCATGCTCGGCCACAGGCTGCAGGGAGGACACGTGGGGGGAGCTACACAGTCTGTTTACACTGGACTAATATTCTTTCTCTAGGCAACTGCTATTGACAATTGTCAAAGAGATGACAGCAGAAAATATTTTGACCTTTTGTGTGATCCAGTATGCATTCTTCTATGTTTTAGTACCAGAATTTATTTGGTGACTCCAGCTTTCTTTCAGAACCTTAACACCTGAAATTATAGAAGCAAAGCATAAAAGGCCTTAAGGGACTTCGAATCATTTAATCTCCTGATTATCTCAATCAAATCTTAAATTGTGGAGGCTTGAATTTATAGATGCTGGGAATTGACAGTATTAATGATGCACGTCTTCCTTTTCAATACTTACCTGCTCCATTTCTCCATGACAGTGCACTGCTCAGCTCATGTTTTCTCCTGCTGTGCTGTGCCAGGAAGAGCCTGGGAGGCAGCAGCAATAGAGGAGTTAGACTGTGCTTTGCTCTGAATGCTCCTCTCAGTCTACATGTTTGTGACACATAACACAGAATGGCTCATGCATGACCTGCCAGATGACACACTACCTGCTCCTGTGATGCAACAGGAACCATGATGGGAATCTTTCAAGTGCCTCCATATCCTGTGCACCTTCCCAGCAGCAACATGGGAGCAGAAAAGTACAATGTTCACTCCCAGGAGGGAAAGAAAGCTGTACAGGACTGTTCCAAATGGCAAAACAGGCATGCACAGCTAAAGCTGAAAAACAAGCCCTGCTTACCTGCTACCAACAGTTGATCAATGTTCAGTCCAATGCTTTTTGGGGGATTTCCATTGACTTTGTTTCTTAAAAGGAAGGGGTTCACTACTCTCTACATTGATCTGGAAACTGGCAGTTGAGAGGAATGGCAAAGTAATGCCAAATCACAGATCACATGTCATCCCATTAGTGGCGTCTCAATACAGCAGCTATAACCCAGGCTCCACTGAAACCAATACCCACCATGGCCCTCACGGGATGGCACTTCAAAACGTCTACAGAGAGAGATTAGTGCACACATGGCCAGCTGGTTTGTTTTAAGCTGAGATCCACAGCTTAGATCACAGTGTCATTCTCAAGCCCTGTGGCTGGCCATGAACAATTTATATTCCATGGCCCATATCCCATCCCAAATCAGCACATGCAGCTCCCAGAGGCATTCAGCAGGGTTTGTTCTGTGAAATGAGGGGCTCATTGAGATTCAAGTTATGAAACAGGTTACTTCAGGGATGCCCATAGTTTGAATAATTTAAAGTCAAACTGGACAAACAGAAGAATGTATTATTATGCAGCAAAGCCCATTCTGGAAGGATGGGAGATAACCTTCTTGGTCTCATCTCTCTGCTCATCACTTCAGCTGTGTTAAGAACTTCAGCTGAAAAAAACGTTTTTTCCTAGTGGAGTAACATTAGGGTCATTCTGTGAAATGCCTGTTTAAAAATCAGACCTAAGTACACCAGGAAAACCAGCATTACCTGCAGCGTTGAGGACTTAGAAATGTATCTGCTGAAGCACCAGATCTCTTCAAATCAGCTTTTCCAGCAGTTTGAATTTCAATTTCACCACACCCAAAGTTATCCAGGTTATTTTACCATCTACCCTATTACCCCCTCAACAGGAAGGAGGAATTAATATCTCTTTCTGCATCAGTAGTGGCTCCTGTCAAAATTTTTTCTGCACATATTCCACGAATATTCTCTTGGTCCTTTTTCTACCATTATTGTATTTTTATTTCTGCTGTTTCTCTCAATAGGCTGTTGTGTTTCATCACACACATACAGTATATTTCGGGTAAGAGAAATTCTTCTCCTCCATTTTCTTTCTTTTATCCTGAATTTCATTTGGTGTCTGCATGCAGAAGCCATGAATCCATCGTTTATGTGGCCCAGGTGCAAGATTCTAGACCAGTTCCACAGAGATTTTCAAATGCCAAAGCCCTGCAGAGCTCAGTTCTTTCCCATAACCAGACTCCCATGTTCAAGTTAATTATTCTTATTATTTGTAATATGTTTTATCAATAAAGAGTAGCACATTCTAAATCTTCGTATTCTGTTAAAAATGTGACAGACAAACACTACTAAAAGTGAGCTTGTTTACTCAAAATTCTGCAATATCATTCCACAGAATTTCCATTCTGATCAGTCCCATAGACAATAAACAGGCAATTTGCTGACTCCTAAGTGGTAAGAAGTAATTTGAATTTCATGACAAGAGATATGGATCAGGGAGAAATAAATTAAGAAACGCAGTATATCTTCATATCCAGTGATAGGAGACTGCAGCCCACACTTGCTTTGTTTTAGCAAGTTCAGATCCCTGGAGCAGTTAAGTCCCAGCAGCAAGTTCAGCAAGGTCAGCCATGCAAACACAAACTTCTTGTCTCTGGCAGCCACAAGGAGCCCACAGTGAGATTTGTGCTGCCAGGACTAAACTCCTAATGGCACCCAGTCAAAATAACCTTTCAGTAGACATGTCTACACCTACAGGAGTTGCAGCTCTACCTCCACAGTTGAAGCAATTCTTTTCCAAACCTTTGCAGGAGCAAATCAAGGAGGTTTTTTCTGACATTAAATGTTATATGTAGGAAAAGAAGTTAAAAAAAGGAAGTGATGTTAGCACAAACCCACATGAATAGTGCACAAGTTTCTTCCCCTACCAAATATATTGAATGATAAAAGGTTTTCAGCCTCCCAGCAGAGATCAGTGCTTGAAATCTGAAGCAAGACAAATTCAGGCAAAGCCAGGTGAAAAATGAGGTGCATAGCAAAGTCATTAATGACTGCATGACTTAAACACCTTGATGGATTCTCTGTCACCAGGGTATGCTCAGAACATGATTACACTCTATCAACAGTTCCTCAGCTCAGAGCTGGCATAACTCATGGAAGCTCATGACCTGCAGAAGGAAGGTGTCAGTCAGACAACTCCAGAACAATTCAATCTCATGTAAAACTTTGCAGTTTTGAAGATGCATTCCAGTCACAACCAGCACCAACACTCCCTGCATTGTTGCACAATGTCTGGATGGAGCTCTGGCTCCATCAGCATCTGCCACACAGCCCTGGCAGCAGCAGCTCCCCTTATTCCATAAGCAAAGGGTGTGCAACTTTTCCTGAGCAAGAACCTTCTTATGGTCTTCACTAGGCTAAAAGAGAGGGATGGATGGATGGATGGATGGATGGATGGATGGATGGATGGATGGATGGATGGATGACAAATGTGTTCCATGTACAACATCTGACCTGTGAGCTACCAGAAGGACCACAACAGATTAGATGATTGCAATTAATTTCACCTTCTAGAGTAGCCAAACACATCTGTATTAAGTGCACCATTTCTTAACTTACTGCGGTCCAGTCTAGACTGACATGACACACCAGGAAAATATCCTTTTGAGTTCTGGGTGAAGGAGAGATCTTGCAGATATAATCAGCACAGGGGTACCCAGACATTTTTTGGGGGAAGGGGTAGAGAGAGTACAAGCTGGTTATCTGCAGAGGAGATGAGAGGCTCCCACCAGTCTCAGGGAAGAAGAGAAATACACATTATTAGGTACGGAATACTAAACCAATATTTCATCAATAGTTTGGAAGCTCAGAGTGAGATAGCTAGGGTAGCTAGGATACTTTATGCACTAAAAATTCAAGTGAAGATCACAGTTTAGTCTAAGATTGGAGGCAGCACAGCAGATCGCTCTCATCCACACTCACTAGTCCATCACTATATTGTCATAGTGCCCCTCACAGATCAAGACTCCACTGGGAGAGGCACAAACAGGCTGTCTCCAAAGGACAGATTGTTCCTTGGGGCTCAGGTGCAAACAGGCAAGATACAGCAAGCAATAAAACCATCACTTGGCAGCTGATGTGCAATAACCTTCTTTGTGCATACTCTTAGCCCATGAAACACAAGGTAATTTGGATTAGTTTAGCCTTCACTAGGCACTTACTGCCTGAGAGCTGCTACTTAACAGCTATGTGCCTAAACTCTGTGATTTCTGCTTTACCAGGTGGGTACAAGCTCATTGCATACATCAGGTGTGCAAGCTGCCCTTGCTTGCATTAAATATGCCAGCACTTTTCCAGCAACGCAGCAAACTCTTTCCAACACAGGAGCTCAGGGTGATTTGGGAATATTGAATATTGTCTGGTGCTCTCAGGACTACAAGTTCTTTACTGATTTAGTACTCGCACCTAAAACCACAGTTCTAGTGCAGCAGAATCTTGTGACCAGGGGATCAGATGAACTGAACATAATTACAGAAAACACTGAACAGATCTACCCTATTTCTCCAAATAGTTCAGAACTATTCCTTTTAGCATAGGACATAGCACCAAATACCATTTTTTTGATCTTAAATTCATATTTTATTGCTCTTGAATGCAAACTACTAAATATTTATGGGCCACAAACTGAAACTGAACTTTCCTTACAGAAAGAATTCTTAACAGTCTCAGGAATATCACCCTTACTAAGTTTTCTTGCAAACAGACCACACTTTAAGCTTGTTTTCCTCTTTGTGGCCAATTCTGTGCAAACCTCTCTCACTTATGTCCTCAGAGCACACACACAAATAATTTCTTCTGCATTCATTCGTAAACCTCTATTTGTTTCTTTTTATGTTCCTGTTCAAATTTAGTCTTTTGAACCACTCAAGACAAGGAATATTTCTATTTTCCAGGCACCTGAAGTTTCTCCAGCCTCAGAGAATTTGGAAGCAGATCTTTTGCAATATAAAGCAAAAAAATAAAAAATCCTGTGGTGCTGCATTTCTCTCTTAGCAGGAGGACTCCTGTTTTCCATTAAGCAATGATGAACATTTCTTCCTATTGACTCATCCAGGAAATGTTATAAAACCCTAAGGATGCTCTGTCTTTTTAAAAATAGGAAAATCCTCTAAGTATGTTACATCAGGTCTGAAGTTCTGCCTAAACTTAACTCAGATGTGGCATCCCACAGAGCAGGAAGATGAACAAGAGACAGGTTTCAACTATGCTTTCTCAGGAATAAAAACACTGAAGATACAAGAAGATAAACAGCTCTTGAATAGCTTCAGTAGAGATAAACTAGGCGAAGTAACAACTAGAAAAATACAACATTTCAGAAGAACATGCATGAGAACAAGATAGAACATGAAAAAATAATTGCACTTTGGTTTTGTTTTTTTCTTTCAGCTTAGTTGGTTTTGGTCCACTGCTGGACCTCCTGGAAATTCATCCTTGTGCATCCCAGACGAAAGATTTTGGAAATATGCTTGGAGAGGATACTGTCACTCTTTTCCATGTGAGCTGATTTGCATGGAATACTTAAATGGTTACGTAGGTCAGAGAATTCTCTATCATGGAGTGTAAAAAACGCTCTTGAGAAATCAAACACCTGGGTTTAAACTTTGCTCCTACGACTGTCTAATTACTTTTGTAAGGTGGTAAGACTTCTACAAAGCAGCCCTAT